TACACAAACAATGATCTCTGGCTGAAGGAGACTCGAACCTACGAACCTTGGGACAAGGTACGCAGTGCTTTACCAATCTACCCACACTGGACAATACCTTGGCTTGTGTGTGTGTGTGTGTGTGTGTGTGTGTGTTGTGTGTGTGTGTGTGTGTGTGTGTGTGTAAACTACTTATTTGTGCATTAAAATGGTATAAAATACCGACAGGTTGTTAGGTAAGACACATATGCAACAGTTAGGTATCTTTATTATGAAACGTTTCGCCTACACAATGGAACAATGCTCTTCTCCAGACTGAGGGACTGACCACCTCAAAACTTTAAGGGTGATGGACTGATTACATCGTCTTCAAGTATCTTCTGCTTCTATCAACTTTTCTGTACTTGACTGAAGAAGCCTACTGTGTAGGCGAAACGTTTCATAATAAAGATACCTAACTGTTGCATATGTGTCTTACCTAACAACACTACTTATTTGTGGCTGCAGGGGTAGAGTCACAGCTCCTGGCCCCGCCTCTTCGCTGGTCGCTACTAGGTCCACTCTCTCCCTGCTCTATGAGTTTTATCGTATCTCTTCTTAAAGCTATGTATGGTTCCTGCCTCCACTACATCACTCTCCAGATTATTCCACTTCCTGACAACTCTATGGCTTTGGAAAAACTTCCTAACATCCCTTTGACTTATGTGAGTTTTCATCTTCCAGTTGTGACCTTTTGTTGCTGTGTTCGATCTTTAAAGCATTCTGTGCCTATCCACCTTTTCAAATCTTCTCAGTATTTTGTATGTCGTTATCATGTTTCCCCTATTTCTCCTGTCCTCTAGCGTCATCCGGTCGATTTCCCTTAACCTCTCCTCATAGGCCATACCCCTTAGATCTGGGACTAATCCTTGACATGCATAACCATGTATGGATTCCCCACCGGTGCTGCATACACTAATATGGTATGTATGAAATTTGCCGGTAATATCCCAGTCCGGTGATTCAATATGGGCTTGACATACATGGTATACAGAGTTTGGAACGACTCCTTGCTAAGGTGTCGAAACGCTATTCTTGGGTTTTTAGTCGCCCATATGCTGCTGCAGTTATTTGGTTGATGTGCACCTCAGATGTGCTCGGTATTACACTTACTGGAAGATCCTTTACCTTGAGTGAGTTTTGCAGTATTTGGCCCCCCTAGCCTGTACTCTGTCTGCGGTCTTCTTTGAACTTCTTCAACCTTCATGACTTCGCACTTGGTAAGCTTAAACTCCAGGAACCAGTTGTTGGACCAAGCTTGGAGCCTATCCAGATCCATTCGCAGTTCTACCTGATCTTCTTCCACTTGAATTCTCTGCGTTAGCTTTACGTCGGTTGCAAACAGGAACACCTCTAAAGCTATCACTTCCGTCATGTCATTCACATATACCAGAAACAGCCCCGGCCCTAGGACTGACCCTTATGTAGCCCCGCTCGTCACAGGCACCCACTCTGCAGTGTTCTATGTGTGGTTCTCTGAGTGGATGTGCTTACTGGCCCTCCCGACTCAGGGTACCGCTCCCTGCAGGGCCTCCAAGAGAAATTTTGCAAGGCAGAACAAGACTGCTTTGGGGGCCCCTGGGAGCAGGCTGAGGCTCCCAGTCTAAATGAATTATACATTATTACTTTTCTAAATAAACTAAAAATATGTGATGAATGGTATTGAAACCCATTCATCACTAACTAAAAATAGTTGAAATTACCAAAGAAAAAAAAAATCAAATGAAAAATCAAAATAAAACGTCTATGGCTATGGGGTCCCTTCAGAGATTCACAGCCAACCTCGGACCAATGTACCGGCTGAGCCCCCGTCTCATAGGTCCTGCCTGTCTGTCTCAAGCCTTGTCTCTCTTTCTTGCTTCTTGCGTCTTCGTATCCTCTATCTCAGTTTCTGTCGTTCTGTACGCGTGCACGCGCATGCGTGTGTGTGTGTGTGTGTGTGTGTGTGTGTGTGTGTGTGTGTGTTGTGTGTGTGTGTGTGTGTGTGTGTGTGTGTGTGTGTGTGTGTGTGTGTGTATGTGTGTTAAACAATCCTGGACTTTGTTACCTTGTGAAAGGTAATTTTTTTTATATTTTATTTAAAACATACAATACATTGGTTTAGAAAGACACGTAAGCAAACACTATAACATATTTATTAGAAAACGTTTCGGTCCTGGGACCTTGATCACTTCTAACATACAGAGGTAGAAAGACATTATATATATAGGCGGAGAGTGAGATGTGACGCACGTGACCTGAGGAATGTCATAAGAACATAAGAATGGAGGAACACTGTTCTTATGTTCTTATGACATTCCTCAGGTCACGTGCGTCATATCTCACTCTCCGCCTATATATATAATGTCTTTCTACCTCTGTATGTTAGAAGTGATCAAGGTCCCAGGACCGAAACGTTTTCTAATAAATATGTTATAGTGTTTGCTTACGTGTCTTTCTAAACCAACTTGTCTGTATTTATTACCAAGGTTTATACCATACAATACATTATATAAATAAAAGTGTACAGTATCGGATCATACATAGCCAATATAAATTCTTCATTATCTAAACACACTGTACGTTTTGAACATCAAAATGGTATACAATACCGACAGGTTGGTAGGTAAGACACATAGGCAACAGTTAGGCAACTTTATTCCGAAACGTTTCGCCTACACAGTAGGGTTCTTCAGTCGAATACAGAAAGTAGGCAGGAACAGTAGAGATGTGAAGACGATGTAATCAGTCCATCACCCTTAAAGTCGTAGAATTTTGAGGTTGTCAGTCCCTCGGCCTGGAGAAGTTCAGTTCCATAGTCAGGAACTATCTGAAGATCAAGCGACAGTACGGATAGATAGTTCCTGACTATGGAACTGAACTTCTCCAGGCCGAGGGACTGACAACCTCAAAATTCTACGACTTTAAGGATGATGGACTGATTACATCGTCTTCACATCTCTACTGTTCCTGCCTACTTTCTGTATTCGACTGAAGAAGCCTACTGTGTAGGCGAAACGTTTCGGAATAAAGTTGCCTAACTGTTGCCTATGTGTCTTACCTACCACACTGTACGTTTTACTTAATGTGAAAGGTAATTATACCTGATTGTCTTCAAACATCAACACTGATGTATGTTACTCTGAAGTAGGTTGAGGGTTGTAATAGGAATGCGTAGGTATCAACTAGTTAATTATATTTGAAGATGGTGCAATATTATTTTCCGTAAATTAACTTGAGTATGATGCTCTTCTGAACGATATAAATATTTAATGTTTGGTTCATCTCATAAACTGAATGTTACTTAATAAATTTAAGTTTGGAAAATCAGACACAAGTGTATCAGCAAGATGTCTTTACTGATGGAGAAGTTGGCCAAATAGAATACAGAGAATAAATAGAATAAAATACAGAGAATAAATACTGGAGACAGTGGGATAGGTGGAGAGGTAATTTGAGGTAATCAATCCCTCAGCCTTGATGACTCTCCATTTTTTTTTTGTTGAATTGAAAAATCTAATGGTTGGCGAAACGTCTCCGTCAGTCATAATGCTCAGGTATGGCTTAGGTTCTTCTGTTTCATCTGTTTCACTCTACTTGTCACATGACATATACCTGGAGTACACCTGGAGAGAGTTTCGGGGGTCAACGCCCCTGCGTCCCGGTCTGTCACCAGGCCTCGCGGTGAATCAGGGCCTGATCAACCAGGCTGCTTCTGCTGGCCGCACGTAGACTGACGTACAAACCACACCTAAAGTCAGTACCAGCCCGGCTGGTCAGGTACTGACTTTAGGTACCTGTTCAGCACCTTCTTGAAGACGGCCAGGGGTCTACTGGTAATCACCCCCTACAATCACATGTTCAGAAAAAAAACAATCTAAACGTCTCATTTTGGATAACTTGCAGTTTTGCTTCAGATTTATTGTTAGATCAGAGAACCACGATGAGCTGGGGCATTCTAAGTGACACTGTATAAGTATCAGAAATAAGGTCTTGCGTGCCTTAGTTATTATCAATTCCCGGACGAGCAAGAATCTAAGATATTCCTAAATACATCACCAAGGTTACCACTAAGATAGGTCCTCGTTATATATTACACCAGTATAATATTATTCACTGCTTTTTAAAATAAAATATTCCTAATTATCCTTTTGCTTTAGTTTTTCAGAGATGCAGAGAAAGTTTGTATATTAACCTTAGACTGCATGACTCCAGTTCACGTGATAACACCGTCTTTATCGATTAGGGTCTATATCTAACATTAAGAGCATTATCATCTGCCTACAATAATAATTTGTAATGAACATCAATTGGCATAATATTTACTTGGTACATGAGTAACGGGGGACCCAAGACACTTCTTACATGGTAGGATGAGAACTCCTACCATGCAGGATGAGGGTTCCTACCATGCAGGATGAGGGTTCCTACCATGCAGGATGACAACTCCCGCCATAAAGAAAGGATTTTCTATCATGTATTTTACAAGCTAAGCTGTTATTTTACCTCACTTCATTACAAATTTTTGTCACGTGCTGTAGCAATGAACTTCCTTCCCCAAACTCTTACAACTATGTGCCCACATCTATCATCCCCATGCACTTCCATTACCCCATTCAGTCCCATCGCATCCACCTAGCCTCGTCAAATCCATCCAGTCTAGCACTCTCATCCACTTCCATCACCCGCATCCACCCAGTCTACTTTTCTCCTTCCTTTTCACTCCTTACCATTCATATAAAAACAAAAACTCCACAGTTCCTTCCCAGTCTCTCCCTATTAAAATCACCTGAGGGAGTTCCCTAACAGGTCACTCTAGACGCCATCTAGAACATACTCAGGGCCGCATGACTGAGACACACACGCCCAGCAGCACACCAAATTTAGTCGTATGTGGTTTTGTGTCTGCCAGTACGCAATAGGAAACTGACGCCAACAACATTTACCACAGCGTCAACATGGTGACCCCCGGCACCCACTACATGGTTACGTATATAAGCCGCCGCTGCAGTGAGACTTGACGTTTGTATTGGAAGTGTCCTCGTAGGAGCAGCATCTAAGAGCGCCGTTGCCTCGACTGCTCGTTGCTGTGATAAACTGAGAGCTTGAAACAAATACTGCGTGCAAAGTTGATATTTGACGGTCAAGATGAAGTTGATTGTGCTGGTAGCCATGCTGGGCCTGAGCCTCGCCGCCCCTCAACGGTAAGTCGTTAAGTCTGATGGTCCTTGACAATGTCACTTTGCATGAGCTTCACCTAGTGTGTCGATGAATGTGTATTTTGATAGTGTTTATGTCGTGCCGAAGAGGTAAAATTGGTCAGTTAGCAAGAACTCATTTAAAATTAAGACCATTCTAAAATGTTCTCTTATAAGTTTAAAGATATATTTATTTCATTTGTGTTAATGTAAAAAATAATTTTGTACCAAAAGAACCTTAGAAAACTTACCTAACCTTATTAACATAAGTGCAATTTAACTTAGCTAAATCCAATTTCAAATTGATTTTCGATAAGTTTACAGTAATTTATACATAAACAAACCGCATAGGTAATTTATTTTTTTTCGTTTATGGTTCAAATGATTTTTGCGATAATTATGATTTTGCACAAATTTTTCGGCAACAAGAGCGTTTATTTATAGCGAAAATCGGTTTTTAAACCTATTCGGTACGATATGTTATTATATTAAATATATTTATATTTTATATATAATATAATTTTATATATATATAATTAATTATAATCTTATTATATATAATTTATATATATATATATATATATCTGTTGTGTGTGTGTATGTGTGTTGTGTGTGTGTGTGTGTGTGTGTGTGTGTGTGTGTGTAGTGTTTAGATGTGTGTTGTGTGCATGTGTGTGTTAGTACCATTCTGTCCTAGGCACATGTCGATTAGACTGGTGTGTGTGTATGTGTGTGTGTTGTGATGTGTGTGTGTGTTGTGTGATTGTTGTGTGTATGTGTGTGTTGTGTTGTGTGTGTATGTGTTGTATGTGTGTGTGTGTGTGTGTGTGTGTGTGTGTGTGTGTGTATGTGTGTGTGTGTGTGTGTGTGTGTATGTGTGTGTGTGTGTGTGTGTGTGTGTGTATGTGTGTGTGTGTGTGTGTGTGTATGTGTTGTGTGTGTGTGTGTATGTGTGTGTGTGTGTGTATGTGTGGTGTTGTGTGTGTGTGTGTGTGTGTGTGTGTGTGTATGTGTGTGTGTGTGTGTGTGTGTGTGTGTGTGTGTGTGTGTGTGTGTGTGTATGTGTGTGTGTGTGTGTCTCAGTAGTAGTACCAGTTCCTAGTAACCAGTTACCAGTAACCAGTGTACCAGTAGATGACTCACTACCAACCGTCTCTGCGTGAATCACTGTCTGTATTCATATTGTTGCTGACCACAGCAGTATTCAAACACCCCCCTCACATATGGGTACTGGGGTTAGTTAGTCTTACGAGTGAGAGCAAGGAGGCAGGTCACGGCTGTTTGGTGCTTCTCACACTATCCGTAATATACGTACTTCCAGCCTACGTGAGTATTTTTACCCTATCCACGTGTTCGAACCCCACATGATATGTGTGTGTGTGTGTGTGTGTGTGTGTGTGTGTGTGTGTGTGTGTGTGTGTGTGTGTATCTACAGTAAAACTCGTGAAAGTCAAAGCAAGTAAATGAGCAATAAAGAACAATAAGAAATATAAATATCGACATTCGTAATACTCTAGGACACAGAAAGGGTAGATAAGGATAGAATATTTCCATGCAAGAATGTTATACACGAGGTTATAAATCGAGGCACAGCCAAACAAGTCGCAGGACGAGAGTGACACAGTGGAAGCCAACTCCATGTACAGATTCAAATGTAAATATGACAAAGTTTTTTCACGTGTGTTGAATGTTAAAAATGAGGATGGAAGACCACGACTGGTACACCCCCCTCCCAATCCCCCAATCTTACCTTCTCGCAAAGTCAAATAGGTAATTAGGCTTTTACAAACTTACGCATACACCCACCGCACAATACATACAAACACAACACACACACACACACACACACACACACACACACACACACACACACACACACACACACACACACACACACACACACACACACACACGCACACGCATACACACACACCGTACCACGCATACAAACACACACACACACACACACACACACACACACGCACACGCATACACACACACCGTACCACGCATACAAACACACACACACACACACACACACACACACACCACACACGCATACACACACCGTACCACGCATACAAACACACACACACCACACACACACACACACACACACACACACACACACACACACACACACACACACACACGCACACGCATACACACACACCGTACCACGCATACAAACACACACACACACACACACACACACACACACACACACACACACACACACACACACACACACACCACGCACACGCATACACACACACCGTACCACGCATACAAACACACACACCACACACACACACACACACACACACACACACACACACACACACACACACGCACACGCATACACACACCGTACCACGCATACAAACACACACACACACACACACACACACACACACACACACACACACACACAAACACACACACACACACGCACACGCATACACACACCGTACCACGCATACAAAACACACACACACACACACACACACACACACACACACACACACACACACACACACACACACACACACACACACACACACTGGCACGCTTCCTGTTGCACCAGCGGGTCATTTTTTGAATAGGTGATAAAGAGGCCATCACCACTCTCACATTCACTATGACACTCTCACATTCACTCTCTCTCACATTCACTCTGACATGTTCCCTACTCCAACAATCGCTCCATTTGCGTACCTTTCACGTACGATCATCCCATGTTAGTCCCACATACACTTTTTCAACATACACGTCTCCCATGTACACTCGCCCTTACACTCTCCTCCAACGTACATACTAACACATTCACTCTCTTTCCACGTCCATACTCCCACTTATACTCCACTTCCTCTAGAAGATTACCTGTCACCCTGAGGCTGTATTGATGTCCACTCTGAAGCTGTATTGATGTCCACCCTGAGGCTGTATTGATGTCCACCCTGAGGCTGTATTGATGTCCACAGCGTCGTTAGTAGATTACGTGTCTACTCTCCACTCTTCCTGACCTCTCCACAGTAGTTCCCCGTCTGTTCTCCCAACACATAATTTCCCCTCTCTCCTCTGCACACACAGTTTTCCCTCTTTCCTCCCCACTACTACTACTACTACTACTACTACTACTACTACTACTACTACTACTACTACTACTACTACTACTACTACTACTACTACTATACTACTACTACTATTATACTACTACTACTACTACTACTATTATACTACTACTACTATATACTACTACTACTACTACTACTATACTACTATTACTACTACTACTACACACACACACACACACACACACACACACACACACACACAAACCTAAGAATAGCATTTCGACATCTGCGTAAGGAATCATTCACGACATTGTACACCATGTACGTCAGCCCCATACTGGAGTATGCAGCACCAGTATGGAACCCACACTTAGTCAAACACGTCAAGAAATTGGAGAAAGTGCAAAAGTTTGCAACAAAATTAGTCCCCAAACTGAAGGGTATATCTTACGAGGAGAGATTAAGGGAACTCAACCTGATGCCACTAAAGGATAGGAGGGACAGGGAGGACATGATAACGACAGATAAAATACTGAGAGGAATTAACAAGGTGGACAACACTCGAATGTTTCAGAGATGGGATACAGGAACAAGGTGCCACAGTTGTAAGCTGAAAACTCAGAGGAGTCATAAGAATATTAGGAAGTATTTCTTTAGCCTTAGAGTTGTTAGGAAGTGGAATAATCTGGAGAGTGAATTAATGGAGGCAAATTCCATACATACATTTAAGTAGAGCTGATGAACCAGGGAGAGAATGACTTAATATCGACCATTGAAGAGGCGGGGCCAGGAGCTATAAATCGAACCCTGCATCCACATATAGGTGAGTACATATAGGTGTGTACACACACCGGGCACATCTCCTGAGGCGCACATCAACCAAATAACTACTGCAGTATTTGTGCGCCTAGCAAACCCAAGAATAGCATTCCGACATCTCAATTAGGAATCGTTCAGGACCCTGTACACCGCGTATGTCAGGCCTGTATTGGAGTATGCAGCAGCAGTTTCGAGCCCACACCTAGCCAAGCATGTCAGGATATTAGAAAAAGTGCAAAGGTTTGCAACAAGACTAGTCCCGGGGTATGTCCTACGAGGAGAGGTTAAGGGAAATCGACCTGACGACACTGGAGGACAGGAGATAGGGGGGATATGATAATGACATATAAAATACTGAGAGGAATTGACAGGGTGGACAGAGACAGGATGTCCTAGAGATGGGACACAGCAACAAGAGGTCACAGTTGGAAGTTGAAGACTAAGATGAATCACAGGGATGTTAGGAATTATTTCTTCAGTCACAGAGATGTCAGTAAGTGATGTAGATGTCAGTAAGTGATGTAGATGTCAGGAAGTGATGTAGTGGAGGCAGGATCATGCATAGGTTTAAGAATAGGTATGATAATGCTCATGGAGCAGGAAGAATGACCTAGCAGCGACCATTGAAGAGGCGAAGCCAGGAGATGTGACTCGACCCCTGCAACCACAACTAAGTGAGTACAACTAGGTGAGTACACACACACACAGAGGAGGCAAGAAGCTAGGAATCGACCCCATGCAAATACAAATACAAATAGGTGTGTACACTCACACGTAGTCTCCCACAATCTCAAACGACTCTTTTTAACTCATACATATATATATTATATATTATATATTAATATATATATATATATATATATTTTATATATATAATATATATATATATATAATATATTATTATATATATATAAATATATTATATATATATATATATATATATATATTATATATATATATATATATATATATATATATATATATATGCGCGCCTGCTGTTTCTTCCTGAGTGAGAGGTGGGTGAAGCATGAAGCCCTGACATTGAGTTTGCTCTGCGGACAACTGTTTCCAAGAGCCTTGGACGATGTGGTCGTCCTGTCCCCGCTTAGGTCTGTGAGGTCCTTGACGACCACTGAGCCACAGCTGACACACCTCCCTGCTGACATACTTCTTACGTCCACACATACATAAGCACACACCACACGCACACGCAAGCACAAACACACACACACACACCCACCCACCCACACACACACACACACACACACACAGTGAAGAGGCGGGGCCAGGAGCTGTGTCTCGACCCCTGCTACCACAATTAGGTGAGTACAATTAGGTGAGTACACACACACACACACACACACACACAACACACACACACACACACACACACACACACACAAAATGACATTGACATGATGGAAGGGATAGACTTAGAAGTGTCCCTGTTCGCAGATGATGTGAAGTTAATGAGGAGAATTTAATCAGATGAGGATCAGACAGGACTACAAAGAGACCTGGACAGGCTGGACGCGTGGTCCAGCAACTGGCTTCTCGAATTTAACCCCGCCAAATGCGAAGTCATGAAGATCGGGAAAGGGCAAACGACCGCAGACAGATTATAGGCTAGGTAGCCAAAGACTGCAAACCTCGCTCAAGGAGATCTTGGGGAGAGTATAGCACCAAGCATGTCTCCGGAAGCACACATCAACCAGATAACTGCTGCAGCATATGGGCGCCTGGCAAACCTGAGAATAGCGTTCCGATACCTTAGTAAGGAATCGTTCAAGGCACTGTACATCGTGTACGCAGGCCCATACTGGAGTATGCAGCACCAGTTTGGAGCCCACACCTAGTCAAGCACGTCAAGAAATTAGAGAAAGTGCAAAGGTTTGCAACAAGGCTAGTTCCAGAGCTAAGGGGAATGTCCTACGAAGAAAGGTTAAGGGAAATCGTCCTGACGACACTGAAGGACATGAGAGTTAGGGGAGACATGATAACGACATACAAAACAGAGACAGGATGTTCCAGAGATGGGACACAGAAACAAGGAGTCACAATTGGAAGTTGAAGACTCAGATGTATGAAAGGGATGTTAGGAAGTGTTTCTTCAGTCATAGAGTTGTCAGGAAGTGGAATAATCTAGCAAGTGATGTAGTAGAGGCAGGAACTACACATAGCTTTAAGACGAGGTATGATAAAGCTCATGGAGCAAGGAGAGAGACGACCTAGTAGCGATCAGTGAAGAAGCGGGGCCAGGAGCTAAGTCTCGACGCCTGCAACCACAATTAGGTGCACACACACAGATTATATATATATATATATATATATATATATATATATATATATATATATATATATATATATATATATATATAATATATATATATATATATATATATATTATATATTATATATTATTAGTAAGAGCATATCAACATCTTTCCAGAAACGGGAAAATGGTGAGTTTTTGGTAGATTTTTTCACGAAACAATTCAGTGTTTATCAGTCAGAGTATCCATGTAAGACAAAAAGATTGTTGCGGCAACACAGTTTCAAGAGTAGGTGCGTCTCACCCCGTCTCCACCGCTCGCTACATTCCCTATCTTTTCCCTCGCCGACGCTGAAGGTCTGGATCCAGACGCTGAAGTCATCCCGGGAGGCCTGAGGCCCTCCCGGCGGCGGCCCACCACAAGAGACGGAGATGACGGCTTCGAGATCCTGGTGTTTGAACCTCGAGCTCGTCCCAACATCGTGATGACCACCCTCCTCAGAGGTACTGCATCCCTCTGCCGGGTCGTGGGTCCTCCTCTATCTATGCTATTTTTGAAGAGTAAAACACATGTACAACAATGCCCTTCCTATGTATCCCTGCATCTTTTCCTTCTCCTTTCCCTTCTTCACCTGGGACTGTGGTTCTTACATTGTGGTACAGCGTCAGTGTTTGCATGCGGTCCTGGCTGTATCTTACCACTCTGCTGCTCCTGCATGAACTACGTCGTGATGGTTCTGAACTAAACTGCTCTCAACCGGTTCTCTTGCTCACTGCACTTTTTTGTGGCAATGATTTTTGTTAACCTCAAGACCAGGAAATGAATTTGTTGTTGAATGCACCGTAATGGGCTCTCTCTCTCTCTCTCTCTCTCTCTCTCTCTCTCTCTCTCTCTCTCTCTCTCTCTCTCTCTCTCTCACTCACACACAGCACTGACGCAACCTTCCCATATATTACACCATAAAAATTACCCTACATTGCAGTGCACACACCATGTGTTCTTATATGCACTATTTTCCCCTAAACTACATTCATAATTGCTTTTCCTTACGTAAATGTATTATCAGTTAGTCACTGAACAATCTAACGTTATCACAGGTAAAAGAAGGTAAGTCCATCTATTTCTCGTAACAATGTATCATATCTGACGGGAAACCGCAAAAAAAAAAAAATCCCAAGAAATTCCGGTAGGTTAAAATAACAAATGCATAAAAAATTCTCAGAATGGAAAATTGAGAGGATGAAAGAATTCCTGCCAGTGACTCACTGTTTCCTATGCAGAAAGTGTCCTTGAGACAGCGGTGACCTTGCACGCCTTCCTGGCTCGCACTCCTTGCCACTCCTCCCCTCCACTGCTGGTGACTTGTAGCTCTGTGGTCAGGGCGTTCTGGTCACAGCAACAGGTCCCTGGTTCGATTTCCCCTGTAGGAAGAGACGAACGGTATAAGCAAGTTTCCTTACAACTTCTGCCCGTGATCACTCATCTAAAAATAATTTTCCTGGGTGTTAGTCGACTGTAGCGGGTTGCATCCCAGGGGGGAAAAATGATTACAAAAAATTCAGATGTGTGTGTAAGAACCTCCAGATCTCCTGGACTTAATTAAGGATTTGAGATGATTCGGCAACAAATGCAGTAACACCACTATTTTACTAAACATCGTCAGTGTTAGTAACTATCGTCAGTGATGGTGTGTTAGCAACCATCTTCAGTGATGGTGTGTTAGTAACCATCGTCAGTGATGGTGTGTTAGTAACCATCGTCAGTGATGGTGTGTTAGTAACCATCCTCAGTGATGGTGTGTTAGTAACCATCGTCAGTGATGGTGTGTTAGTAACCATCGTCAGTGATGGTGTGTGTTAGTAACCATCCTCAGTGATGGTGTGTTAGTAACCATACTCAGTGATGGTGTGTTAGTAACCATCGTCAGTGATGGTGTGTTAATAACCATCCTCAGTGATGGTGTGTTAGTAACCATACTCAGTGATGGTGTGTTAGTAACCATCGTCAGTGATTGTGTGTTAATAACCATCCTCAGTGATAGTGTGCTAGTAACCATACTCAGTGATGGTGTGTTAGTAACCATACTCAGTGATAATGTGTTAGTAACTATCCTCAGTGATGGTATGTTAGATGAAAGTTACAGTACCTAGTATCTAATAATCACTATTAAGTCTAATATGCTCCCTAAATCACCGACTGAACATTTTACCTTGTTTATCTATCTACCAGCGAGAATATAAGACAGGTAGACTCCAGGTTCACTTATTGTAAGTCCTATGACCTGGTCGGCCCCGCCCGCTGTGTCTGCTTAATTAAAGTATTCAATTGCCTAAGTCACTACTTCACTTGTTTTTATGGATACCATGGCGAAGAAATCCTTGTGACTTGACAGCATCATTATGCCCAACATATCCACCCTCTGAATAATAGTCAGAAGATTACAGTGGCATGTAATGGATCCAGGAGCTGGACCACAACATTATGTTGACTGAGCAAGTTATAAAATTGTGAATGCAGATGTACACATGGTATGAGCAGCAATCATAGGTTAAGATTAGTTTAATTCATAAGTTGTTCAATGTCAGCAATTCATATTTCCTATATTTCTCCAAATTGTATTTTCTTTATTTTAAATTATATTAAATTAATTTAGGTTAGGCTTGGTTAGGTTAGAACATGTAAATCTATATTAGCCACAAATAAACAAATCACAAAAACTCCATGAAACGAGATGGCCGAGGAAAACCAGGAAACTTAGAATGGACTGCTACTATAGACATCAGAGAGCCAAGGCACTAGGACAGAAATTATATTGGTTAGACAAGGTACAATGAAGAGAGAAAGCGAAGGTAATTGATAAGATATATTAGTAATACATCATAAAAGATTATGTTTTTGGATACATGAGAAGAGCTTTCCTTTAATTTCTGTGATATTTCTATTATAACAATACGCTCACTAATTTTTATTTTATTTAGAGCGTTTATTTTAGGTCAGTTTGTTGAGTATGGTATTAGGAGTGTTTCCATCTATGCTGTTTCACGGGAACAATTATTTATATCTGGTGAAACGTAGTCCCCACGGATGGTGTTCCTAGGCGTTGGTGATGCAGCGGAAGCTACAAGTGTCTCTTTTGCCCTACAGAATGCAGCGTCCTGTGACCGGCACAATTGTTTAGGAGTGTTCCTACAATCTGTTTGGAAGGCCTTTGTTTAATTGCTTCCATTTTACAACACGCTGAGTCAAAGGGTACGACGCAGACTAGGGCTGTCGCAGAGCTCACGAAAGTTTAAAAACGAGTAATATATAGGCTTCAGTGATTTGTAAGTTGAGGAAATAACACATTTCTTCCCGCAGCTTTCTGAGGAAAACTATTTACACAATAGTCTTAGGTAGTCAAATCCCGTACAGGTTTACTTAGCTGTGATGGTCGTCTCATCCATATATTGTCTCTCTCAGATCTGCTTGGACTGAGACGGTCTCTTGGTGAAAACAACCGTGGAAACTCTGCACCAGCCACAGTTCCACCTGAAGATGACCCCAAGCCCCGTCAGGAGTCTGACGACACCCCGTTGCTGTTCTTCGACAGACCATTCTTCCCTGAGGTCTTCAGGCGCCCCTTGTTTCCTCGAGTATCCTTCCCTAGGCTGCCATCCTTCGACTCCTTCCCGGACATCCCCAACCTGCCAGCCAACTACGACAATGTCACCCATGAGGTTAAGATTGTCAACGGGTCTCGTGTTGAAATGAACCGCACCATGACGAAGACGACTAACGATAATGGCAGCGTATTCTTCACTCAAGTCCAAACGTTCAGGAGACTGCCGGAAGCCTCTCCTGATGATGACAGCGAGGTGTCAGCTGCTGGTGGTGAGTCTCTGGACTCTCCTGCGGAAACTGACACTCAGGACACCCAAATCTGGCAGGGTGCCAGAAGGAAACACCGTCGACAATCAAGTGGAACTGTACGAGGACTTCGGGGTAAGTAAATAAGTCGAGGACAACCAGTAGTCATCGCCATGATAATCAGTTTGAGCTTTTCCAGTTAACCAGCTTGATATATAATTATGATTTCGACAATGTATGCTCTAATCTGCTTCTAAACTGACTTGTATTATGCTTTTATGCCCAGCCTTTAGCATGTTCTGCCAAATTTTGTGTCGCTAGAATAAAGCCATGTTCAGTGAGACGATAGTTTTATTTACTTTCCTGAACTCTTCCTTTAACAAAGTAGTTAATCTCAGTTCTTATTTGTTCCCTTCGGGGAAGCATGACTGCAAGAGAAGCGCGTCTGCCGCGTTTAAGAGGATGATCGAGCCTCCGCCAGTCTTTCCACAGAATGACCCCACACAAGTTTAATATTTTACATAAATATTATTAATAATTTGTTCGCTTCTGAGTGCATGAGAACGAAAGCTGAACCTCGCACAACCGGATACATCTTATCCCGTGCGAATTACTAAGTTCTGAGTCCTGATGTTACAAATAGGAATAATCAACCTATAATCATGTGGCTTTGCCGTACCTAGGACTTGTGTGTTCCTGCTAATTCAGCTGATCTCCGAGCCAAGTTAACCAACATTGCTAACATGCAGGTACAGCTTTCCCAATGCTTTAAGAATATGAAGAGGTAAGTGCTTCCTCAGTGCCCAAAACTCAACTCATACTATGTGCTGCTTGCAGTGTACTGTCGTAGCTTCTTGCTTTTAAGATACATGATGTTTGACGATATTATTTTTGTGTCAATGAACATTTCATATAGGGATCTCTAAACACGCTAACTCAATATTAGATAGTCTCAGCTAATTAAATTTTTATCCTATCTTTGTACAGCGTTCTTCTGAAATTCCCTTATCCCGCAACCGTCGCTGGTTCCTAGAGTGGTTCAACAACGTCGGTAGGCGCACACCCACGCCTGCCACCACCAACTCCCACTTCTACCACAACCACCACCCCAACGCCCTCAGTCAGCCTACTGACAAAGTCACCTACAACACGGGAGACAAACCTTTCCCTGAAGCGGAGTCTGCCGCTCACGGACACAGAAGACCTACGACTAGATCGCACAAACCAAGTAGTGTCAGGATACCTATTATCAACGACGCTGACATCGCTGTCAACTACGGTCCTGCAACCCGCACTGTAGATCCTGACGCTGAGGTCATAGACTATAATCTCATCAGGGAAGATGAGCGTAGATATTCCGGGAACCGTGCCCAGCCAGTCAGGTCACAACCAATGATATCTCAGCCAGTCAGGTCAAAACCAATGTTGTCTCAGCCAATCAGGTCACAACCAATGTTGTCTCAGCCAATCAGGTCACAACCAATGATGTCTCAGCCAATCAGATCACAACCAATGATGTCTCAGCCAATCAGGTCAAAACCAATGTTGTCTCAGCCAATCAGGTCACAATCCCTTAGGTTATAAATGCATCATAGCGTCATTTTTCCACTACTACTACGTGACAATCAGGATTCCCTTCAGGTCCCCCCGAACTTCTCTAGCTGATCAGTGTTTACTTCAGTTTCTCACATCCTCCTCATCCAGACCTAATAAGACAGAGCAGCTCTATTTATTTATTGTATTATGGGTGGCGTGCTGCTGGGAATGGGTGGTGTAATCCCTCAATTGCCAAAATACAATACTCATTTCTGTATGTTCAAAAATATCCTGAAAATTCCGCAATGACGCGAAGATAAATGAAAGAAACGCATAGTTTAGCGACTGAGAGGAACCATTAAGTCCTATCACATGGCCTCTGCAGTTGGAATGCAGCTGAGGAAAAGTTAATGATATGTTACCAATTAATATCGGTTCCTCGTCAGCGTTCAGCTGTGGTTTCTAGCATTTAAAAATATATTCCGATAATTTTTTTTTTCAATGATGCCAAAGTGAAAGACTCTGGAATTAAAGACCCTGTTTGGTTCCTATTTTTATATTTGCCTTTTGTGTGTTCGTGTTTGTAAATCTGTTTCTATGGCATGTGTGGTCGTAAGCTTGTTTTTTTGCATGTTCGATAGTTTGTGTGACATGTATTCACCTAATTGTGGTTGCAGGGGTCGATTTACTCATCCTGGCTCCGATGTGTGTGTGTGTATGTGTGTGTGTGTGTGTGTGTGTGTGTGTGTGTGTGTGTGTTGTGTGTGTGTGTGTGTGTGTGTGTGTGTGTGTGTGTGTGTGTAAGCTTGTGCTTGTGCATGTGGTAGTGTTGTAAGTCTGTGTGGCATGCGTGTTCATAAACTTGCGTTTGGGCATGTGACAGTGTTTGTGAATCTGTGTTTGTGTGTTACTGGTAGTATACTATTGATGAGTTCCTCTTATTACTGAGCATTATAACTCCCAGAGCTCACGCTCTCCACAGTACCAAAGATGGAAAGATTTTCCGGTTTGACACTTGAAATTCATGCATAAATGTATTACTATCTCGTTGTGAGTGATTAACTGGTTATTTTTTTATTATTTATGTCATATTTTTAATAAAAGAATTACTTTTGGTATCGTCTGAGTTTACTTAAAACCAACCAAGATTAGACCAAACCAGAATCAAGGTTAGACAAAACCAGAATCAAGGTCAGACCAAACCAGAATCAAGGTCAGACTAAGTCAGAATCAAGGTTAGACCAAGTCAGAATCAAGGTTAGACCAAGTCAGAATCAAGGTTAGACCAAGTCAGAATCAAGGTTAGACCAAGTCAGAATCAAGGTTAGACCAAGTCAGAATCAAGGTTACACCATGGACCCACTTATCACCAAACCAAGCAAAGTGGAGACGTGGGGATACAAACTGGATAAGTATTAAGCCATAGTAGAAATAATAAAATAAGAGATAGTTGATTGATGTGCAGGGAAACAGTGAACATGCAGTGACTGGATAGTGGAAAAGGATAAACCACCACCAAATCCTCTCGCCACCCTCCCCCTCCGACACCCCAACCAGAAGGGATGGTCCTCACCCCCCCTACTGGCACCCATACCCCATTCTCCTGACCACCGAACTACCTTTCATCACCGAAACCCAGCCACCACCACTACATATAACTGTCCAGGACAAGATAAACAGCAGTGATCATGACAGGAATCAGATGCTGTAGGATGTATGATATATGATGTTATACAACATAAAAGTTTTTAATGGGTAATAAGTCTCCATGCTAATTACATCCCACATACCCATGTATTGCCCTTTATAACGCCCACACCTGCGTGCAGAGCTGAAAGGTAAAGTGAAGACCCAAGGCTCTTGTGGTACCCAGTTGAAAAATAGGATACGGGCAGGATGGCAGTACAGTATACCTGTGGGACATGTGAAAAGGCTTTTGGGAAAAAATCTAAAATCACATGCAACCGTTGCTTTTCAAAACATCATGTTACCTGTGCAAGAATAAACACTGCAACCAAAAATGACATCTATCTAGATAGGTGTTTCTGGTCTGCAACAGGGATGTGGAACTATGGATAGAAATCAGGAAAGCACTCAGAGGTTAATAAACAATAAACACGAGAAAAAGGAGGAACTATTGAATAGTCTACCTGGAATATATAAGAGCATGGGAAGATAGGAGAGGAGTAAAGTCTAACACAGAGAATGCCCAGTCTACAACAACTGACCCAAAAATAAGCAGATACACACTAGAAAAAACACGGGAAACAAAAACAACAGCTAGTTCAGTCCCCAGCCTTAGGGCTGACCCAGACCCAGCCCCCAGCCATTGTGAAAATCTGGATTCAGTTAAAGACTCCTCCACAGCTACCAATGCCATATCCCCTAGTACAGATGTAGTAGAGGAGCCCTCCTCTGGGGTAGACTCTTCTGCAACCATCACAGTCATAGCCCCACCCCCCAGCCCCAGTGCTGACCCAGACCCAGCCCCCAGCCTTACTGCCAGCCCAGACTCTCCTAGGGACACTACCCAAACCACCACAAAAACAGTAAATATACAACCATCATTGAACATTAAAATGGTATAAAATACCACAAGACCGTGGCCCACAGTACAGATGTTGGAGAGGAGTCTCCTCCTTCCTCTACTGGGGAAAGTAGATGGAATCCAGGACGGGGTGGCCCTGGCTTGGATACTGAGGATTATAGTGCAGTCCCAGAACCTGCAGAAATTGACAACACACCTCCCAACAATTCTCAACCAAAGGTGAATTTGTGCAAATATTATGCTTGGGGCATCTGTAAGCATGGAATAACAGGGGAAAAAAATGGGACATGCAACTTTAAACCACCCCAAAAAAATGTAGCGACCCCCCTTTTCCCTAAAGGAGTGTGTCGTTCTTCTTCCTGTACTTTCTTTCACCCAAAAATGTGCCACTCCCTCGGTCCTCCAGAAGCAGTGTTACAACATCGAGTGCCCTGCATACATCTAAAAGGGACCAGGAGGCACAGACCCCACAGGACAAACAATAGTAGCTACGACTACCCAACTCCAGGTGATTTTTTAGTGGCGGGAAACGAAAAAGAAAAGGGAAAAGGAAATAACAAAATAGTCCACCACCTTGGAGCCTTTTTGGACTGGAGGCGCAGCAGTGGCCACCCTGCCCCCCAGAATTACAACTACTGATGCCAATAACAAAATCCCCCCAACAAACACAGAATACACCTCGTTCATATTTGCTAAATACGGGGCCTTAAGCCATCCACCAAAAACAAAATACCTTTTATCAGTAGACTTCTAGTGGAGTCTAATGCAATGTTTGCAGCCTTCACAGAGACTCACACAAAAGATCACTTTGACAGTGAAATATGGATAAGTGGTTAAAAACCTTTTTAGATGCGACAGAAAAAACAGGCAACAGGGGGGGTTTGGCCTGAAATGTCAAAGAGTCCCTTTAAATCTGCACGGAGTTGCTGAACACCACAAATGAGGTAGTTGAATTCTATCAATAAAGATCGAGAACCAAAACCTATCATTGTGGTTGTATACAACCCCACCAGATGCAACCTCCCAACAGTTCAAGGAACAGCTACTGAAAATCGATTACTGTTTGGGAAAACCTTCCAGCTCCATCCCCAAACATCTTACTGTTTTGGTGATTTCAACCTAAGGCATACAAAATGGAAGAATGTAGCAAATAATGTTATAGCTGAAACAATCCCGGGGGGTAGCGCAGATAAAAGGGTCACACACACATGAGCTACTAAGTCTCTGCGAAAAACACACCTTAAGCCAGCAGATAGTGGAGCCAACAAGACTAGAAAACACACTTGCCCCTTATCTTCACAAATAATGAGGACCGGGTAAAAGACATAAGAATATCAAAAACAACTAATTCCGATCACAATCTAATCGAAGTCCAGACGTACATGCATAGGGTCCCCGAACAGCAGAATGCATGTACCTGTGAAGGTGTCTTCCCCAAAAACAATTTCAACAACAAGAACATCAACTGGGACCCGGTAAACCATGTCCTAAACGAAACATGTTTGGGAAGATGTCTTAAATGACATGGAAACCAAACCAGTGCCTTGAAAGGATCAACTTCCTGGTAGCCGAAGCATGTTCTAGGCATATTCCCCTAAGAAAGAAGAAGAGCAGGAGTAAACTGGAGAGAAAAAGACGCTCCCTCTACAGAAGACGACGAAGAGTCACTGAGCTCCTCAGGAGTGCTAGAATATCTGATAGACGAAAGGAGGCGCTGACCAGGGAAGTGGAAACTATCGAACTTAAGCTAAATGACTCTTACAGGAACCAGGAGAGGCAGGAGGAGCTTAAAGCTATTAGTGAAATTGAAAGAAATTCAAAATATTTCTTTTCATATGCCAAAAGTTAGTTAGTTTAATATGTTTATTATGCACCCCATACCCATCCTGTGGGCGGTAGTCAAAAGATTACAGAGGTACATAATTGGTCCAGGGACTGGGCCTCAAAGTTTTGATAGCTGAGCAAGTTACAGAGGTAATGAATTCACAATTTACAAAGTTAATGAACTCACAATTTACAAAGGTAATGAACTCCAGGTAGGTCTAGTCACAATCATGACAAGTTACAAAGGTATTTACAATTACAGAGGTACACAATGGGTCCAGGGACCGGGCTCCAAAGTTTTGATGGCTGAACTAGGTACAAGGTAATGAACTCACAAGTTACAAAGGTAATGAACTCACAAGTTACAAAGGTAATGAATACTGTAAGAATGGTTACTTTCGTTTACACATGGCTGCAATCATGAACAAATTTTAGAGTAATTTAGCAATTTTACACTTCCACCCGGTCACAACTGTAGTGAGTTATTGGTGCAAATGTTGATTGCTGAGTTCTCTCTCTCTCACACAAAACCACAAATTCTACACACACACACATAAACACCCCACACACACACACAACACAAACACACACACACAAACTCATAACACACACACGCACACACAAATCTACACACACACACAACTCATACACACACACACACTCAACACACACACACATACACACACACACTCATACTCACACACACAAACACACACACACACACACACACACACACACTCACACACTCATATGCCAAAAACAAGGCAAATACCACATCTAGTATCGGGCCCTTACTCAGACAGGATGGGACTTACACAGACGACAACAAGGAAATGAGTGAAATATTGAAATCCCAGTACGACTCTGTGTTTAGTGAACCACTAATCGGTCTGTGGATCGACGACCCAAATGATTTCTTCATGAATGAGCCTCAAAACTCCATAAATGTATGCCAGATTTCCGACATTACCCTAACTCCGATAGATTTCGAAAAAGCCCTTGGGCAACATGCCTATGCACTCAGCCCCGGGCCCAAACTCGTGGAACTCTGTTTTCATTAAGAACTGCAAGAAACCCCTCTCGCGTGCCCTAAGTACACTATGGAGGAGGAGCTTGGACATAGGTGAAATTCCACCAGTCACTTTAAAAAAACGGATATAGCCCCGCTCCATAAAGGTGGCAGCAAAGCATTAGCTAAGAACTATAACCAAATAGCTCTGACGTCCCCACATCATAAAAATCTTTTAAAGAGTGCTAAGAAGCAGGATTGCAAATCACCTGGATTCCCAAAATCTGCACAATCCAGGGCAACATGGGTTCAGGGCAGGTCGCTCCTGCCTCTCACACTACTGGATCACTATGACATGGCCTTGGGTGCACTGGAAGAAATCAGAATGCAGATGTAATATACACAGACTTTGCAAAAGCATTTGACAAATGCGATCATGGCGTAATAGCCCATAAAATACGTGCTAAAGGAATAACTGGGAAATGGGGAGATTTATCTTCAACTTCCTAACAAATCGAACACAAAGAGTATGGTCAACAGAGTTAAATCGGAGGCTGCCATAGTGAAGAGCTCGTTCCACAAGGCACAGTACTCGCCCCCATCTTATTCCTTATCCTCATACAGAAAATAAACAAAGATATACACCACAGCATGTATCATCCCTTGCGGATGAAAACTAGGATCTGCATGAGGCCCGTCATCTGCTGAGGACGCGGTTAACCTCCAAGAAGATATAAA